GAAAATTAAGACACCCCTTCATGTGAATGCGCAAAACGAGTAGTAATGGTAATGGTAAGGGGAAGGGCTAAGGGGTAAAATTGGGATTAGGCCTAAGTGAATGCTTTTAGCAGGCACTTTTACAAAAAACACAATTAAATATATATATATATATATATATATATATATATATATATATATATATATATATATATATATATATATATATATATATATAAATTAAAAAGTATTAACAGTTTTATGGTTGGTATAAGCTATGAGCTGCATGGGGGCGCAGTGGTTAGTACTGTAGCCTCACAGCAAGAAGGTCACTGGTTTGAGTCCCAGCTTGTCCAGTTGGCATTTCTGTGTGGATTTTGCATGTTCTCCTCATGTAGGGTGACTTTCCTCCGGGTGCTCCGCAGTCCAAAGACATGCACTATAGGTGAATTGGATGAACGATTGGTCGTAGTTTATGAGGGTGGTATATTAGCAGTAATGCTAAGCTAAAAATTGCTGCATTATCCACAATTTGTGGATAGTATCCGTTTAAAATGCACATATATTTTTACATTCATGCATTTAGCAGACATTGAATTTAAAGAGGATTTTATTTATGTATTTATTTAAATTATAGAAACGTAATGGATTATTTCATGCTTAATAATCAACCACCAACAACATCCTTTCCCAAAAGTTTTTCCAGTGTGAGCAGAACAGTGACTGTTGTGATAATACAATAAATACAACAGCAATAAAAAAAAGTGTGACGATAAATCACGTTAAAGCTGAAAGTACAGATATTATCTCTATACATCTTATTTATAGCTCTGCATGAGAGACTATCTTTCACTGGAAATATGCCTGAAATTCCAGTATGTGCTGTTTTCTCTGGGCTGAAATGACGTTAATCTAGTGTGCGTCAGTATGAGGACCAGCCCGCTCTGTCAAACTGTAATCACCCCACACTTCCGACGCTCTGGGCCAAAGTGCGCTCAACCACTAATGTGAGATCGTACACCTCATTAAAACTGCCGGTGAAATATTTATCTATCCCAGCCGAGGGGGAAATGATACCGATTCTAAAGTGGCGGATATGAGTATGTTGTCTTCCAGCGTCAATAATGACAGGCTTTTTTAAATGCTCCGCTCACTATGCCAGTCAATTAATGATGCTAATTACATTCATTTGATGCAGTAGGCAAGATCCCGATAGCAGGTATTGACTAAACGCAGGCATCTTATTAGTGTAGACAAGCAGGTAATATTTCTCTAAGGACACGCATAGTATTCTTCATTATGTGTGGTAGTGTATATATAATTTAATAACAATTCTGTGTTAAGTGTGTCTGTTTTTACAGAACAAATTGTGGTTCTGTCTTTGCATGTTTACTTATTATGATGATCGTCTTAAGGTTTAATAAGTGCATCTCAGTTAATGCTGTAAATTATTTACACTTCCTGACAAAAGTCTTGTCGCCTATCCAAGTTTTAGGAACAACAAATAATACTTGACTTCTAGTTGATCATTTGGTATCAGAAGTGGCTTATATGAAAGGCAAAGGCCTCTAGATTACGCTTATTTTACCAAAATAAAATATGATCATGCCTTGATTTTGAATTATTTAATTAGAACAGTAAAGTCTGCCTTTTTTAAACAAAAGTCTTGTCACTTAACAGAAATAATGTACAGTATAGAATATAAAGTCATGCTGCAGTGAGTATTGTGTATGTGCCCCATGAGCTTGGAGGACTGCATCCACCTTCATTTTACCCCAGACATGCTCAATAATGTTCATGTATGGTGACTGAGCTGGCCAATCCTGGAGCACTTTGACCTTCTTTGCTTTCAAGAACTTTGATGTGGAGGCTGAAGTATGAGATGGAGCGCTATCCTGCTGAAGAATTTCTCCTCTCCAGTGGTTTGTAATGTAATGGGCAGCACAAATGTCACCTCAGGCTGTTGATGTTGCCATCCACTCCTGCAGATCTCTCGCATGCTTCCTTACTGAATGTAAACCCCAAACCATGATTTTTACTTTACCAAACTTGACTGATTTTTGTGAGAATCTTCTGCAGTATTTGTGATGATTGGGATGCAGTTCAACAGATGATACATCTGAAAAATCTACCTTCTGCCACTTTTTCAAATGATCAACTAGATCATTTTAATATTATATTGCTAGATCATTTTAATAGTCAGGTTAATATTTGTTGCACTTACAACTGAGATTGATGACAAGACTTTTTTCAGGTGGTGTAATGTGCCCTGTTGCACAATAATTAACAACACATCCCAAATCATTATATTGAACAAAATATATAGTTTGTAATAAATATTTATAATTATAATAACATTCAATCATGAAGTAAAAAGCACATATATGAGAAAGTTTTACATTCAAAAAAAATATCTAAATCTAACTATAAAAATGTTTCCACTAGTTTTTTGTTTTACTCTGTGGCTTTAATATCTTTTTAATGACAAACTGATTTAAATACATACACTGTAAAAAAAAAATGTTGGGTTCCACATAATCGATTTGTCTTGGGACAACTAGAAGAAATTAGGTAATAAGTGGATTGAGCATAAAACAAGGAAGTTTCCCTCCTAAAAAATAAAAAATAAAGAATTGTGTTGATTCAGTTCATTTTAAATAAGTAGCTTGAACAAGCAACAAAAATCATTCTTTAAGTGCAAATAGCATGTAAAATGCAGGTATAGTTCACCTAAAAATAAAAATGTAAAGAAGATATTTAGAGGAGTATTTTGGAGTATTGGTAGACGGTATCCTACTGACTTTGACTGTAGAAAAAAAAAAAACACTATAAAGGTTTGTTTTTTTAATTTTATACTCTCTGGGACTAATAATCTGTCCTGGCCAAAGCAAGCAGCGAGACAGAGTTTACAGAATTTATGGGACAAACTATACATTAAAAACACTTAAAACAATTACAAATCACAGAATCACCCTCAGATTGCTGAGTGATTGACTCAGAATGATCCAAAGAATTGAATTGAAGCATATTTCAACCAGATGGAGATGCATGCCTACAGAAAAAGCCTTTTTTACCAAATTCAGTGTGAACAAAAGGAACAGAGAGACTATAAAAATTCTGAGAACAGTGGAAATATTTCTGTGAAGTTTTCTGTTGTATAAGACAACAGAGATATGAAGAAAACATCCCAAAGATAGCCTTGTAAACACTCAAATAGTAATTGTTAAGGCCATCTTGGAGATGTTGCCTCCATATAATAATTATAATCATATATAATGGTTCAGTAACAACCATATAATGGTTAGAATCATCTGTTTGTATACCAACATTTTGAGGACAAGAGTTTTGAGTGAACTATTCCTTGAAGTAAAAAATAATGGATTTGTGGTCTAATATCGTGCAAATATTTAGAGAAAGGCTCTTCACTAGAGTTTATTTCTCTAGTGAATGAGCATGTTGTTGATGCTATATGGCTTGCCTGAAGTAAATATTGTTTTGCTTTGTGACATATTGTTTACAAGCTGTTTTATTGATGTCTTTCTTTGGTTGGAGTTCTGATTGAGCGATTACATGAGATGAGATGTTCATTCATGGACATTTGGTGCTAAAACTAGCGGTAAAGTGGAAGGAATGATAATGACATATCAATTCACATCAGCGACCATGAAAACAGCATTTATTGTTCGAATTTCCTAACAAAATAGACACAGATTGAGAAAACAAAACACAAAAGTTTTTGGGATTATTTGATGGGACGTGCACTTTATAATGCAAATAGCAAAGAATAAAAGATCAGTTGGGATATAAGAATCTATGTCAATCAATTCCTCAAGAACACAAGGATTTTTTTCATTGAAATGTCCATATATATAGCTGACTCATGTGCTTATGTCATTTCAAATATTTCAAAGAGTGTTAAAATCCAGAGAAATAACCCATTTTAATTAGTAACATAGACCGTGTCCTGTGTTGTCATGACATCTTAAGCCTTTCCAGTTTGGTTTTATAAAAAACCAAGAAGTACCAAATATGCTATTGTGTTTTTGTTTTTTAATTAGATTCGACAGAACAGTATTAAAACAGATTCCTAAAATGTATTTAGTGTGATACAACAGTGGTGCTTCCTCTCCACATGATCACGACCGAAAGAACCAGTGGACTGTGGCATAATAAAAGCTGAGCTGTTTTTGTGCAGCGTCTCTCATTACTTTCGCACTTTCGTTTGCTTGCTTCATACTATAATGTTAATAAGTCTTTAGCTCATCCATGAACTAACTTAGGGTGTAATAAAGACGACAACTCCCATGATTCCACACTTAAGGCTGATTTATACTTCTGCGTCAAGCGAACGCATGTGGTCCGGCGCAACCGAACTTGCATACCCCTTGCACGTAATGCAAGCTCTGTGATTGGTCTGCTTGGTAGCGCTGACGAGTGTGAGCAGGGCCGAGAGCCACACACACCCATTGGAGCGAGTGTTTACAAGTGTCGAGTTCGGTGAAGGAGCTCCATATAGAAACTTTTGTTTTGTGTTTACCTTATGATTAAAGTTGTTGCACGTCCACCGTTTCCCACCTCAGAATGAGCGAGTTTTAGCTACTTGTACGTTGAGGTAACATTCACAAAACACCTGCGAAGAAAGTAGACACTGAAGAACTTAAAAACCTTGCTGCCACCTAGTGTTTTGGGAGTGTTATTGCAGAGCAACACAAACAGCTAGCAGAAGTATAAACCAGCCTTTAGTCACAGCTTCATCAAACTACACCTTTATTTGATTCAATAAATCCCCTTTAGCCACAAAACAATTAGAGACTGTGCCTTTAAAATGAATACATTAATGAAAACCTAGATTAAATTCTGCTTGCAGTGGTTCCATCAACACATTATACAATATGTTTTGTACAAATTTCTAACAAGGATGTGTACCATTACACTCTATACACTCTATATAAGGCCTGACTGAAATATTAATGCTCTTAAGATTGGATTTGTGGTTAAACTTTTCCTCCTGTTGTTCACAGGTCAGTGAGAATGCAAAGCAGGACCTGAAAGATGGCCTTGCCCTCTACAACACAGACAACAACATTGGGCTGAGAAATGCCTGGAATATCATCCAAGCCGAGGTAATCTTTGTGACAGTCCTGAAAATATTCTCTTATACCTGCCGAACTTAATAAAGTTTTGTTGACCTTTTTTTTATTTTGCTCTCCTCCTGCATGGCAGTGGAAGTGTTGTGGTGTCACCGGGTACACAGATTGGCATGATGCCCTGAAAGAAAAGGTTGTGCCTGACCGCTGCTGTCAAGAACATTATCAGGAGTGTGGCCGCAACTCCACCAACATGTTCTGGACACGGGTGAGTGGAAACATGCATTTAAACAAATAACAGTGTTGACAAATGTCATCACACTTAGTAAGAAGAAGAAGAAGAAAAAAATAAACACACTTTAAGGGGCCGTTCACATAGAATTTTTTTTTTTATCCCTCTAACACAACTTTTCTATTGTTTTTCAATGTAAACACCCGTTTAGCAACCGTTACACTTGTGTCTTGTGTATTCTGAAGCGCCGCACGTGTTTTTGACATCATGTCAACTTAAAAAATCTTCAACTTTCACACATAGAGCAGCTCATCACTGTCAGATCCAAAAGCAGTGGACTTATCTGAAGAGCTTATAGGCAGGGCAACCGTTGCAAGCTTCTGTTTATAGACAGTTAGCAACTGTTTTATTTACAGTTATATCACGGTGATAGAGGCGCTCATTGTCCAGAATATCACTGTGACCAGTTATATGATGTATCTTAAAAAAATGATGTCTGCAAAATTGTTACAAACAATTTATATGTTGTATTTACCCCCAGGGGTCAAAGACCGCATATAAGCGTTTTAAGGCGTCTTCTCCTGATAATGCCGAAAAGAACGTAAATTACACTTTCAGTTTTGATCCTACAGATAAGAGTAATACATTAATCGAATCTGTTACGTGTCTACTTTTTTGTATATACTCACAACAACAACAAATGTGTGTGCTTTTGAAAAATAAGAAAAACAAACAGTGTAGGCATACTTTCATTTCTTCTTTAGAAACGCGTCAGTAAAATGCACTGAAACTCTGCGAAAACAAAACACACAGACATGAGACATATATCTATAGAACGCTTGAAGTGTCTACTTTTAAATGCAGCGAGTGCAAGTTGAAAACAAACATTGCTTGATAAAGTAATCAGTATGAAACCAACACTCTGTTAGTTACTCAGTCTGATCTCATTAGCTTTAATGCGAGTAATGATCAACCTTATTTGTGTGTTCAAATTCAGCCTAAATAAATTGTTTACAGCCACTTAACGTAAAAAAAAATTGTAAATCCAAGAAATCATCTTTGAATATTTTTTTCCCTGCGATTTTTAGTCATACAGACATAAGTAAGACATTATTTGTAACTGAATAAGAGTCTACTTGTGTATACCGTACTCACAACTACCACAAAACATTGTGCTATTGTAAAATAAAGTAACCAACCAGTGTGTACATCTTGTCATCTCGGTCTCGGTGAACTTTTATCTGAAAATACCTTTTTACATCAAATTTGGATATTCCACAGCCTCTCTGGGCACCTGTTGTCTATGTTGAAAGTCTCATATTAAAACTGTTTTAATTTTCAAGTCTACCAATGTAAATCTACCAATTAGTTTAATTTTAAGTTTGTTAAGCAGACAAAATGCTGAATTGCTTTAGATAGCATGTAATATCAGTGGTTTGATTGGTCAGATGGCCTGTCGATCAACACCCAGCAAAGACAGGTGACATTTCGAACGCACCACTTTCCATTTAATTGCCCTCATTTGGAATACATTTGTGTTTAAACTCTTGTGTCCATTAAAAGTACATCTCAGAAATGGGATGGGATCAAAGAAAGGACTGGAGGTAATAACTGAGACGACTTCTCTTTTCTTTCTCTTTTCTGTCCTTGAGAAGAGTTATTATTAATAAATGAAAGGCAGTAAAAGCCATAGATTTAAGACTTCTCTGTTGGAAGAAGCTCTAAGTGTGTCTATAAAGTGCCAGACCCATGTATCTTTATGTATTTCTGCTCACTTTTGGGTACTCAACGCATTTGTCTTTCCTACAGGAGATGATTTAGCTTATGAAAACTCATTTTAATGTACTGAATGTTTGAATGAGATTGTGAAGAGGGCAATGGTCTCTTGTGGCAATATTTTTGTGCCATTGACAGAGCTCTACATCAGTAGCTGATGTTGCACGTCAAGCTGTCGCACCTTCTTATCGGCAGCTTTTAGTTACCACAGAGCTTCTAATGGAGTGTGTGCGGATGAGGCATTTCCTTTTAGTGAACTCTTAATGTTTTTTCAAACGCAATTTTTTCATTAAGGCAGAACGAGGAGTGTTTGAAGTTTGTGGAACTGCCGCAAGAGAAAGAATTTGAGTAAATGTCACCATTTGCTGGGATGAAAATTACACAAGGACGCATTTGTAGTCAAGTTAGCCTGAAACCATAAGCCGTTAAATTGTTAAATTTATCTTCACCCCCAGACGTTAAACAGCAACCCAACATAAAGTTTTTAATTCACAGAACAAGAGAAATTAGTCAAAAAACTCTAACGTGAGGCTGTTTGCAGAGACATGTTTTACCATATCGGAAGGTATTATATTGCATTACCGTCACACTTTTTGCTTGTGCTGGAAATGAATTTCCTTTTCAATAAAGCATCCCACAACACCACCACCAACTCAAAGCTGTTTTGAATTTTTCCCCACATAGCATTCAATATAAATATCACTGAATGTGCATTTATTCTTTTTCATTGAGCATTAAAAATGCTGCCATATGTGAAATTGAAGATGTTCCTACACATTTCATGTATGCTTCACTACATTTATTTTAAAGGGCAGTCTCACTTTAATTTGCTGCACGTTTTGAAAGCCTAAGAGGGGCATTTTCAAAGAGTTATACAAATTATTAGTGTGGTATTTTAAGCTGAAAATTAGTTCTAATTGGATTTGCATTGCAAACATTAAATAAAAGTTAAAAAGGTGTTTATTTCATATATTAAGTTTTTAGTTATGATACTCCTAAAATCATTCCACATAAATCTGCAGATTTTTTACAAAATTCTCCACGGAATAGCAAAAAATGTCCGCAGATTCTGTCTGGCCCAAGTTAATAGTAACTAATAAAGCTATTTTAACCTGTAGCTTTTCTGAATTTGATTGTAATGCAATAATGTAATAACTATTTAATAATTATAAATATTATTTAATAGTAAATAACCTTTAGCTGCTTTTCACAATAGTTATTGTGAAAAGTGTGATACAAATAAATGTAATTGAATATTATCAAAGAATACATTTTTAATTTTGTGCTGTTCTTTAATAATAATAATAATAATAATAATAAATATCAATAATAATAATAATATTATTAATTATAATAATGATAATAACAAATACTAACAACAACAACAACAACAACAATAATAATAATAATAATAAATACCACCACCAACAACAAAAATAATAATAATAATAATAATAATAATAATAATAATAATAATAATAAATACCACCAACAACAACAAAAAAAATAATAATAATAATATAAATACCAACAACAACAACAACAATAATAATAATAATAATAATAATAATAATAATAATAAAAATAATATTAATGATAAAAGGAAAAAAATAACCAATTAAAATGTAATTTAAAAAATAATTTAAATTCAATGAAATTTAGACTCATATTTACATGGTACTGGTTTCCTTATTTGGTGTGCACTTCACAAAATTCATACTTAACCAAGTAAACCATGCTTATTTAAAGCGAATCACACAGCGTTCGTTTGTGTTAATCAGTTTGTTAATGTGAATGACCCTTAATCAGTGTCATTTATTTATTTTTTTTTTGCAATGCAGAAATGCCAAATATGGTAAATAAAATCATTCCACATAAATCTGCAGATTTTTTACAAAATTCTCCACGGAATAGCAAAAAATGTCCGCAGATTCTGTCTGGCCCAAGTTAATAGTAACTAATAAAGCTATTTTAACCTGTAGCTTTTCCGAATTTGATTGTAATGCAATAATGTAATAACTATTTAATAATTATAAATATTATTTAATAATAAAAGCCCTTTAGCTGCTT